AGGCTTGTGGCAAGATTTCTTTTTATTTCCGAACGCCATTATTACTCGCTCGGGCTCGCCGTGTAATTTCATTTGAACTTCCGCTACGGCGAGCTACGTGACATCTTGGAGATTTTTTCAGCGACAATTTTGTAGCGCAGGTTTCCTCCTGTTTTTCTTTTTCCTTCTTTCCTTCTTTCTTTCTTTTTTTTTTCGAGTAGTTAGCGCTGAGACTCCAGGAAACTTCCGTCTCGGGATGAATATGGCTGGCTGCGCGTCTCGATCTATATTTCCCGTGTTCATTATTCAGCTTTCCTCCCTCCAAGCCAACATGTTTCGCCGCGCTTATCAAATAATTCGAACAAAGTGTCAACGCTTATTGCGATAATAACGCGGGATATACGTGGTCTATTTTTTCGTAATTCGCTCCTTTTTTTCACTCCATGATTCAGAAATAAAGCACGCGCGCGTATGACAAAGAATTACGCGACAGCACTCTCATCTTTTCGACGACTCTTTCCCATTTATCTCGCGCAGCAAATCCTCTCAGAGAATGTAGAGCGCAAAAATCTCAGTGGATAATTATATAGCTGTTGAGTCTATCCGAAAAGTTCCAAGATTAAAGTTGGAAAAATGTGTTTGCTCATCGCGGAATATGCGCGATGTTCTAACGACAGGTAGCGAAAACTATCGGGCGAATTCGACGCAAAAGATATATCGAATTGAACGTAATAATCACACGCGATGCGGCGTATTTTTAACAACGCAACTTTTTCACGTGTAAGTGGCGTTACACGGAACGAGGTGATCTTCTCGCACGTAGATAAAACGCGACATTGTTAGTATTTCGACCTAGATTTCAGGATTTCATGTTCAGTGCAGTGCGCGCTCGAATTTTATCTGGATTTCTCGCTTTCTACTTCTCGCTTATTTTCTCGATGAAAACTGGCACGGTTTCTCATTCCCTCTCCGCCCTCTTTTGCTCTTCTCCCTCCTTCTACTCACACTCTCTCTCTCTCTCTCTCTCTCTCTCTCTCTCTCTCTCCCACGCATTCGCTCGTGGTACCGCACAGCGCCGAGTCGTTTGTATTTTTTTCAAGCAACTGTTCCGACCAAGAGCAGCTCTCCTCTATTTTGTGAAATTCTTAGCGAAAGTCTCGAGAAGTTGTCACAGCTCCGCGCGATAACTTCTAAGCAAGGAAGCGAGGTTGGAACTTTTTCCCCGAGAAAGAAACAACCGCGGCGACGGAATACTTCCCTTTGCACTTTGTTCATGAGAGACGTCCACTAATTCCATTTTCTCCCTCGACATTTAATGGAAGGGAGCGTCTCATCGGCCGCGCACTTCCGTTCGATGAATCTGCTCCGGAATTTTTCTTCATTCCGCAGGATTTCGGAGACGGGGTCTTAAAAAGTTCTCGAGCCCTCGGAACCGCGAATCTCGCGCCGACGAGAAGAGAGAGAGAGAGAGAGAGAGAGAGAGAGAGAGGGAAGGGGAGAGAACCTTCCTGCACTGACGGGATAAAGAATGACGACAAACGTACGACGCTCCGCGCGTCTATCGCGCCTTGCCTCGACTTATTATTCTCCAAAGTATTTTATTTCCATGTAAACGCCCTCCCTCCCCTCATCACCGGCGCGCATTGCGAGCTGCATAAACCATCGAAAGATTCATGAAGTCCCTAGCTCATTACCGTCGTCTGCGATTATGGATGGATAGTGGCGCGGAAGCATCCGCTTCTCTCGCTTCTTTGCCCCGGACTGTTTATATATCCACTCTCTCGCGAGAGGCTCCACCGCTGATAAATGTTATCGTTATCGTTATAACGCCGCTGCTTACTCGATAAGTAAGCGTTTGCGCCTTGCGTTCCGCTCGACCCTTCCGCGAGAGCTACGGGCCGGAATATATTTTCAGGCCAAGAGTCCATTCCAGCGAGTTAAGGGCCCATCGTCTCGGCAGCGTCTTTGCCAAGAGAGTCGGCCGTAACGCAGGAGTATCGCAAGGAGTAGCGCACGACCTTGCGCTTCTCCTCGCAATATCGTTTCCGAAAATAGTGCGTCACACGTGCGCGCGTCGCTCCGTTCTCTCTCTCTCTCTCTCTCTCTCTCTCTCTCTCTCTCTTTCTCTCTCTCTCTCTCTCTCTCTCTCTCTCTCTCTCGGCCGGGCAAGAAAGGCAAGACACGGCAAAAACGACGAGACGGCTGTCGTCGACGCGCACGGACAGACACACGAACCCCCCCTTCTCTGTCGCCGAGCTTCTTGGCGACGGCATTGCGTGCGAAATGCTTTCTTCTCTCGCGGCGTCCCTCTTTCATTTCCTATCTCCCCGCTTGTCACTTCCGGCGGATGGCGTGTCCGCGCTACGACGCGACCAGGCGCGCAGGCGAATCGCGCGATCCCGTTCTCCGTTCTCAACATGCTCCTCATGATATCCTTCTTATTTTGCAAAATTGCTGGCGGAAGTCCTAACGAAATAGGATTACTCGCGTCAAGGAGGACGCGCGCTAAACCTTTCTTGACACTCGACTGACCCACAGGTGGGACTCAAGGAGCTCGAGTGTGCTATATAGCGAGCGGGGTAGTTAAGATGTTATCGTATCTCAGCGCGGTGAGCTACGAGGGATTCCCCATGGTCAACCCGCGGGAATATCTCCGTCGATCTGCCGCCCTCGCGCGCGCTTCCCTCTCCCTTCTTCATCTTTCCATCCACTGTCCTCTTGCTCCTTGTCTCCCCCCTCTCTCTCTCTCTCTCTCTCTCTCTCTCTCTCTGCACGTCAGCACAACCTCTCCATCTCTCGACTTTGATTCTTATCGATCCGGTCGTCGTGGCGATCTCCGTGTATCTCCACGCGTGATTTCCTCCTGCCGTCGATTGCCTCGCGCGGCAAGCGTCGGCGAATTCGCCGGGCGGTATATAACGGCGGATTAAAACGACGATTCACGGCGGGATCGATCCGACGCTCCCCCTCGCTCTCGGCACGGAATTCGCCTATTTCTTTTTTTTTTTATACCAAGATTCTCCTTATCGGTAATCCTCTAACTGCTGTTACGCGGACGCCGCCTGCCTCCCGGGCGTGATAGATAGCGCTGCGGGGGACAGCGGTCAATGGTCCATAGGTCTGATCAAAGGGCGCCACTGACTTTGAAGGTGCCCCATAAATCCGGTTTTATGAGGCAAATTTCAATTCTTTATCGGAGAAAAATTGAGACTATCGAATAACATTAGAAGACCCTCCCTCGCCTGCCTCCCTCTTCCTTGTCCCGAGTGTAGCAGATTTGTCTTTGTGAGAGACACGGCACCCTCCACGGCTGCTAAAGTCGCCACGATAATGTAGCAGAGAACAGATACTCGACGCCTCCCGAAATTCGAGCGCGCATTTTTCTCCGTGAAGCGCGCGCCGCGATAACGCGCCGGTAATCTCTCGGCCGAATTGGCCGTCGTTGAAATGAATCGTTAGCTGTCGAGGGAGGGAGAGGGGGAGAGAGAGAGAGAGAGAGAGAGAGAGAGAGAGAGAGAGAGAGAGAGAGAGAGAGAGAGAGAGAGGGCGGCAGGAAATGAGGAAAATAGAACGTCAGAAAGCTCACCGTCTATCGAACAATTTTCAGGCGACCGAGAATAAGATGACATTTTGCGTAACAATGTCGTTAAAAACACGCAGGGCGAGAATCGAGAGACAGAGGGTGAGAAAGGGAGGCAGAGAGGGAGGCTGGAGGAAGAGAGAACGAACGGAAGAGGGAGCGTTATAAAGGAATGAACGCTCCGGCGCTTCGCGAGATCGAAATTAATGCGTAGCTTGATTCAGGCGTCTCGCGTGCCAGATATCCGGGACCGCGCAATTCTTTCGCCGTTAACGGCCGCGCGCAGTTGGCCGGCTCGCTAAATCGATACTGGCTGCGAGCAAAGCGAGGGGAAAAGGCACAACAATTAGCGTTCTGATACGGGGAATCAATCGAGAAGAGAGGCGGAAAGAAAGAGAAATCCCCGAGTTCGGGTAATTGGTCCGGGCTCTCGAGTTTGCGCGACCAGCTCGTCAAGACGTTCGAGCAAATCCTTTACGACGGGAGGGCTTCTCGCTCATTGTTCGCGCGAGACGCACGAAATATGTAAGAGAGAAAGACAGGGAGGGAGAGAGGGACGAAAGAATCGTCCACTCGATATAATAAAGAAGGTTCTCCGCGGGTAAAAGGCGGGTATAGATTTTGCCATTTTCCTTTCATTTCTATGTGATATGCTGGCGTGACCTTCGCATATTCGCGTACCTCCTGATAATACGCGTATCGCTCGCACTCGCGATTTAATACGATCAGAAGGGGAAAAGAGAGAGGGTAAAGGACGTTTAGCAGAGCATTCGCAAAATTCCTCCTGGGGTTCGGTTGGGAGGGGACTTTCGGAAACCACTCAGCCTAATAATTGCTTGAATTTAATGCCGAAAGTGTTCAAATAGCATCATGTATCGCTATTAGTGCTACACCATTTTCCCGGATTTATTAGGTAAGCAAAAAAGTTTGTGCGGTTTTGTACATTAAAAACTACACAAGAGCAGAAATTTTCAGAAAAAATGTTATAATTGATATGTGAATAAATATTATGGTTGATATATAAATAGAAAAAACTGACAACTCTTCGTCATCATTAACGGAAGATCTCCCTGAACGGCGCATCTTCACAAAATTCATCGTTGAAAGAAAATTTTTTAAACCACTTCTGTGCAGTTCGTTGTTTTAGTCTTCTCTAAATGCTACGCACTCTGAGAAAAAGATTTCTGTTGTCACACAACAAATGAACGTTTGTTGTTTGATAATTGCACAATAAATCAAACAGTTACCGCAACAAATTTCTCGTTATTTATAATTGATTTTATCGAGATATTGCAAACACCCATCACCATAAAAATGTCTTTTCTTCTTTGACTCACCGATATACAGCAGACAGAGTCAGCCGCGTTCTGCTGCGGATCTGTAACAAAAAATATAGTTTCGTTAGTTAAATCGTTAGGTTAAAAGTTAGGTTAGGTTGAGTTCAATTCGCGGAAGCGCGCGCGCAGATACAAACGTTGACCCTTTGCCATCGTAATTCAACGGCTTTTATTCCAATCACTCGGTTTTTGATCGCAATGAATCAAGAAGAAATGTACAAACGATCGGTGAACCTCACCTTCAAGCCGACTCTGCTCGGCCCGAACCGGATCCTCCGGTGCGGCATTGGCGTCCATCGAAACTGCGTCTCGATAACCGCAGCTATCGCGTGGCTGCAAACTCCAGCAGATCTGTAACAAAAAACGAATTTCCTCATTAGTATTACAGCGACAAATGCGCCCCGCATCAAGAGTACGAAGACTCGAGACTGCAAATTAGCTTCTTCAACTTAACCAAGTTAACCAATAAAAGTTTACCTTTAAAAACCATGAAACACTGCTATTGCTCAAGATGCTCCGGATCGTCACGCACGCACACACACGCACGAATATTACACGTTACACGCGCGCGTACACTGTGATCAAGCGTGAAAATTCGGAAATTATTACGCGCGGCAATCCGCCGATCCGTCCGTCGCCGCGGCGTAAATAATAATGGAAACGGTCGCGGCAATTGCGTGCTTATGAACATGTTGTTTTCAAAGTCGCGTGACCTCGTCCCGCCGGGACGCGTCTCAGGCTGCGTTCCGATATTCACTGCCAGCACTGAAAATATATAGTATACGTGACACAAACTATGTATTTTCAGTACTCGCAGTAAATACCGGAACGCAGCCTCAGAGAGCCCGTAACAAGTTGTATAAAACTTACCTTTTTAAACAAAAAGGTAAAAAGAGGCGCCAAGTACACGCGCAACACGTATTATGTTATTTTTAGGAATTTCAAATTATTCTTCTTTCAAGTTATACATGTAACATAAAATTTTACAAATAAAATTTATAACTATAATAAAACTCTATAACATTACTTTACAAAAGAAATGATATAAACAGCAACGTTTACGCTTTTAGTACTGTTCATCGTGTAGCACCTGAGCGTATATCTTTGGGCAATGTAATTTATTATTTTCGTTATACAAGTAATAAGTTTGTACAAGTAAAAAACTTATATCTCTAACAATAAAATCTTCTATCGAAGACTATAAATAAAATTCTACAAAACTGTTCTACAAAAAAATGATATAACAAAACAATAGCAACTGAAAAACTCTATTCAACATCAACTCTGCAAATGAGAGCGATTTGCAATCTGAAGATAAATGTATCGAAAATTCCCAATGATGCATGATGACTTCAACCGGTACTTCAAAAACAGTGTCTTCATTATTTACTAGAACACTGAGTTTTATGGTTATTTTACTTGTTATTATAATAAATTAGTTATTATAACAATGCAATAAAAAATATTTAATGCAAAAAGTCTTGGCTTCTCTTCCTCTCTTTCTCTCTCTCTCTCTCTCTCTCTCTCTCTCTCTCTCTCTCTTTCTCTCTCTCTCTCTCTCTCTCGCTCTCTTTCTCGCACACTTCTACTCCTGTATTCTAGCAATATTCTTCTCTCTTTTACTCTCTATCGCTTGCTCACTCGCACTTGCTGTTTCTTCAACGCGCTTGTAACGCCTCTGATATCGGAAAAGTGAGATGCACAAATCCCCTCTCCTCTGCGGTTTAGCGTTTTTTTCTTTCTTACTGAATCGAAATTTTCCGTGATTTGGATTTTATTTTAAAATATCTTCATTTAGAGACAACGTACACAAAAAAACACAAGGACACTTTTCTTCCTATTTTTTAAGGCCGAATTGATTAGCACTGAAAAACGTCGATCGGTTTAGCCATTACTGAGATATGAATATCTCACTTCGTTCCAACTCGCAGTTTCGCGTAATATGTATAGGCACGGTATGCCTCACGTCGTTCGGGCGCAACTTCGTTGCACAAGGCACTGCCGTGCCTCTTGATTTTAACAAATATGCATCGCTAAAGATACAAGTCATATATGTTTGCTGGATATACAACTTTCAATAAAAAAAAATAGCAATGTCGTATAGTATGATATACACATGTACATGACTCTTCTATGGTTCATATTTTGAACTCTCATATATAGATAAAATCTCTTGAAATAATTTGTAAGCTTTTCTAAGTAGCTACGAACCACATTTACAGACTTTTTCTATTGATAAAAATACTTTTATCGTACGAGCTTTTGTATGTGTATTTCCTTAACCTTACTTAATCTTATCTAATAGTTTATTAATTTCATGTAATGTGTCGTGCTAAAAATAAAGATTAACGTAATAATGCATTGCTTTATTTCTTTCCCCGAATTCTCGCTAAGCACACACACACAGAATTGTTATTTTGTTAACCTTCCTCTACCAGTATTTAATTAAATGTAATGAAGCTGTACTTGAATTATCTGATAATTATGACACGCGCCAGTGTGTAGATATCGCATATGTAATTTCAAATATTTTACATATTTTGCTATATATTATATGTCGGTGAAAAAGAATTAACACAACTGGTTTGCCTATACATAATTTCTAACCTTTGCTCGTATTCTGTACGGCCAACGAATCAAAAATTTATTATTTGTTGGATCAACGTAACAATACCATTTGTTCCCATTGTAAATTGTTGATTAGAATGGCAAATCATAAGTAACGAATTTGTTCTGTTACCACAACAGAGTTTATTTACCGTCCTACATTAACAAGCCATTTGTTGCGGTTACTAGTGTTTTGTTAACTCAATAAAACCTTTTTCCTCAGTGCATATCTTACGACATGCTTCTGCAGCTCTTGAGCCGAGTTTAAATTCACAAAGCAAACATGCTCGGATTACACTCGATTCGGCAGACATTTTAAAAGGGCGAATAATCATCGTGCCACGGCAAAGTTCACCGATTAACTGACGCATATCTGTGTTATATGAAACACGCGCGCCCAGCAAATTTCAACGAGATTCGATAAAACTCATAGCAGCGAACTCAAACAAAAACCGCACAAACTTTTTCGCTCAGCTAATATTTACAGTGTAGGTGATGTTCAAAGACAACCGTGAAACCGTGTAAAACGTGTAATAATCCTACTTTAGTCCTGACTTAGTTAGTCCCCCGATGGTCTAGCCTACCCACGGACTAACGATGAACTACGGCTACGTTATTCAGAAATATTTTTCTGAAATGTTTTAAATTTGGTCTATCCGGACTAAGGAAATTAAATCCTTCGGACGGTATTTATAGTAGAATCTTATATTTAATCGTCTTAAATTTATCTTCAGACACGTCGTAATAGGGAATTTTCAAAACGCGTCTTTTGAAGTTCGCATTTTGTTCACATTTTGGGAATCTTTTTCTTTTTCAATTTGTGACAGTAAAATTACTCTCAATGAATACATCGGATAAAATAAAGCGAAGCAGAGAGGTTAATTAAACGACAGAGGAGAAAAGTTTCCTGACGGATTCGGTGTGAAAAAGAAAGAACATTATCGAGAAGAGATGTACGGGCACGAGCACGAATAAGGTCGAACAAGAATGTTGGAAGGAAATTTTTAATGACATCAATGAATATGTCGGGGCGATTATATATATGCCTGTAGCAGTTAAAAGGTTAAATCAACCTTAGACTGTCTCTACAGGTCATATAAATTTAAGCTGGCTTCAGTACAAGACTAAATCATAAAACGTATCTCTGAATGCAAATGTCACTAATCTCTCTTCTTATGCCATTGTTCGATTCGACTGAATCAAGCTCGTTCTGTCTCCGAACAGCACCCTATACCCTCGTACGTATTTATACGTACGACAAATATTTATAACAAATGAACGTTTGTTTCAATCTAACCTAACCGCGATGTAACACCTCCATCTTTCGATTCAACACATTTACGCAAGAAGAATTAGATGATGAGAGTAAATTGGATAAACAAACGTATGACATTACGGCACGTAGACTTATCTGACAAAGTAGCGTGACATTAGCAGCGATACAAGCGTATACAAGCTCACTAAAACTTAGCTAGCATTAAACTTGCCTGTCGATAAAAATCTACTCACGGGGAGGGGGGGAGCATCGTTTGAGGCCGCTCGAAGTATTCGGAGGAAAATCCATGACCCGATAGGGCGCGGGTGGCGGTTTTCGGAGCTTGTCAGCCGTTCGATTTTTCGAGGTGCGTGCCGGGTGACACTTGGACGACGGCGTAGAATTAAACTCTCCGCGCGCGCCTCTCCGCTCTATCGACCTGGCACCGGCTGCCTTCCCGGCCGGTTTTCGTGCTCAGCGCCCGCTCGCACCGCCGAAGTGCCCCGTGGCATCAATCTTGCATAGAATCCTCGAATTTACGGCCCTCGTCCCGCTCGGCTCGCGCTGAATTACACTCGACGGACGCTGCAGAATGGCCGCGACTATCTCCGCGTCCGGCGGCCGCATTCGCGGCGCTCTCGCGCGCGCGGCGGCCTCCGGTTTTGCCGGTGCGTCTCCGCCGCCGGGGCGATTTCAGCGGCGATGAGATTAGTCCGATACGCGGCGACAGCCGCGGCGTACGGAATAAAGCGTACGCATCCCCGAGTATTTCGGATGGCGTTGTGCGCAGCGCTCGTGCTCGCGCGAGCAGTCGCGTGAACGGAGAACCGCGGCGGTGGGTCTCGTGGAAACAAGGTAATCCACCGGCGTAAATATATAATTCTCATCAACATTATAACGCCATTCTCTCAACGGGGCGGCGCGCTCGAAATCATGAGCGTTGGCATCGCTGAATTTTCTGAGCCGCGCCGCGTAATCGCGCCGCGATGTAACGCGGCGAGTTATCAGCGTTTGAAATGACGCGCGAATGACACCGCGACCGACTAGAGAGCCTCATAGGAAGAGAGTGGCAAACTGATCACGTGACCAGGTCTCTGCTGATTCGACGGAGGCACAGAGTCTTCTTCTTGACCAATCAGAATATCGACATAGCAAGACGACAGGTTGGGTTTTACGTAGAGTGAGTTTTAAGAGCAGTCTAGGCATTTTATACTACGCACAAGACATAAAATTATGTAAATAATATATATTATGATTCTTATTCTATGTAAATCGAAGCGACAAATATTCTTTTACAATTAATACTTATTACTTAGGGATATCTGATTCTTATTGCTGTTATTAATTCGTAGGCGAATATCTTGCGCGACTCGTCGTAACCTCCTCTAATGACTGGCAGATGTACGAGGGTAGTCCCAGAAGTACCTGACCTGACGTATAGATGGCGGTTGTTGTTTGAAAAGAATGACTGTGGTAGAAAGTACCAACC